GAACTCCTTTTATTAATAACCTTTTTTTTTTCTCTTTATATTGTGTCATTAAATGAATTACTTATCATCTATTATATCAATAGCTATCAAACATCTGCTTGCAAGTGCTCTTCAAAAGTCCTTTAACAGGGAACACACATTAGTGTTTCAGGCCATCTCCACAGGCTTTGAATTCTGAACTGGTTATAGTTTTAGAATATTTTAAAGGTATCCCAGGAAATCTTCAGCAGGCAAATTTTAACATTACTCTTCGCCCTCTGACAACTTTCACTCTTCCCTACAGCTGAAAAAACCCCACTTTATTTTAGGACACATTGTTCTACATATGCAATGGGTACGATAGTCCTTCTACTGAGAAGAATATTCATTCTGCACAGCATTCCTTTAGTTAGAAATAACTTATGAAGCTTTGTAGCTCCTCTCCTAATCCTCCAGCTCTCCTGTTCTCCAGCTCTTTCACAACTAGTGATGCTCTCCTTTAAATTATCCTCAATTTGTCAATAATGGTGCCAGAACCTAGTGCAATGTTCTTGAGGCAGAGTTGGAAAGAATGAGATTACAAATGAGTCATGATGGTAAATCCAGTACAGCTCACGAGTTTAAAGACTGAATTGCAAGTGCTATTTTTAATCAAAAATACATCTTCAGAGACTGGGTTTCTAGCCAGACTGATGATATGATAATGAAATCCCAGGAACTCTTATGAAACTGTCCGTGACTGCTTGCTGTGTAAATATGTAGCACAATTATGACATTTAGTTTATCAATTTCTCATTCTGAAATAAAGGGATGAAAATGTATATTTTGGAATTTTTTTCTGACTTTAAGAAACCTCTTTTAGTGACAGAACAACTACTGTAGCCAGCCTCTACTGAAATGTGCAGATCTGTTATTCAAACAGATCAATCTGCCAAATGCCCTGTTGGCTTTTTCAGTCTGGGAGTTTCCTTTCTGAAAGATCATGTTGGCTGTCCATGGCAGCCTGCTGCAGCCTGATGATACCACTTAGAGGGAGAGTTTTTGGAAGAGGCTGGAAGACTGCAACCTTATTGTTTCTGTTTCAGGAGAACTTGGGCAGCTGTTGGCTGCCAAAGATCCTATTATGGTGCTCTTCTACCTTCCCTCTGCCTCTCATTTCCTTCCAAACTAGCTATCTTCTGGAGCCAGGAGAATATCAATCAACCACTCCTAAGTTACTCCTCTTTCCAAATTCACAGAATCACAGCCTGTTTCCACTTCTTACTAAAGGGTGATTACAGTTAAAACAATCCTGCACACTAATAAACAAGCTAACATGAAACCCTGTGCCATCTTTTCCATAACTACCAATTCTAAGACTACAAACATTTATATTACCACTCTTTAAATTATTACATTATATCTTCTAACTACTAAAAATAGGTTTGATTTTCACTTCTGTCTATGAGGAAACAAATTGATTTCTTAATGTATGCTCTTCAGACTGAAGGCAAACAATTTCAGATATAGATTCTGTATCTATCCTTGGCCCACTGCAGTCTTTGTTAATGTCTCTGCTGGGATTTCTAGGCATGGACTGAAGAGGTTGAGGGGGCTTGTCTCTTACTATCTTCAGGCAGCACACCCTGGAATCCCACATCACACATTTTCTCAGATGTGAAAATGCAAAGTCCTGCATTCAGCTATGACATTTGTCTGGCTGAGGTCTGAACAGTAATTCTGGTCATTACCTTCTGTCAGTTGTTGATTCCAGAAGGAAGAGACATGTGTTAAGAAACACAGGAAAGACACAAGCAAGACATTTTTACTTTGCATAATTTAAAAGCAAATAGATGTTTCAGTGCTGTCCCTTCCTCCCTTCTTGATACCTTTGTCCCACTGTTTCACTTTCAAGTCCTATGCCTCACTGAGATTATAATTTGGTGAGTATATTAGCTACTAAAACTGAGCCTCTGTACATACCAAGGCAGTATAATTTGATGCCTTTAAATAATAGCTTTTTTATTACATACAAAAATTCATTATGTGTTTAATGTATCAGTTTTTAACATACTTAGATCAAGAAAAGTATCTAAAGAGACAAACTATTCATCAAGTCAGTTATTTTGCAATTGAATGTCTCAATGATTGATCAATCTATAACACATTAAAGCAAGAGACTGAGAGCAAATTTGGGTCCTACTTGAATTTGTTTCTTTCTTCACGTTCTATCCTTTGCAACCTTTCTTCTCTCTCCTGACGCCGTCTTTCTCTTTCTGCTGCCAAGGACTCCTGGTGCTGCCGAAAGGATGATGTAAGGAGACCACCCAAAGCTGGCCTGCAGAAAAGGAAGATCAGATTTCTCAGTGTCACTTTTATTGATTATACTGGCAAAAACTGAGTAGCAATCATTCAGTAAGTAACATAATCCCAACCAACAGAATGACATGGCAATATTTATGTATGGCTTTCAAAGCATTTGTTAAGCATCTTCTTGCTAAATTGATCATAGATTCTGTGATGAGCTGAAAAAAAACCCAATTAGGGTAGGCTTCCTAAATAGCTAAATTTCTGAAGCACAAATAAAGTATGTGTAAAAATTCTTTAGTCTATTTCAACTGGAATATTGTCTAAATATTTTTTTTAACTTTATAATCTTGTTTTTAACTTTATGATCCTGTTAATAGAAAAGCTGAATCCTGTAAAGGATTTTTTAAATTTTAAAGAAAATAAACTGTTATGCAATGATGTTAAAAATAGATGTGTCACAAACACCTGAGAATCCTCTGTACAGAAAAACAAAAGTAAAGGAAGATGTCAGAAGTGCCCTAGAGAATGCAAATGTTCTCTTAAGCACCAGGCATATTTTTCCTTTATACTTTAATAAATTTGATTATCATGATTTTCTTGCTGCATGTGCTGTAAAAGCAAGATGAATCTCATATCCAAACATATCAGTAAAACACAAAGGGACAGTCTTCTCAAACCATTCTTGAAAAATGTCAGAAAAGGTGGCCTCTACAATAAGGACTTTTCAGATATATAAAGGTACATTTACATTCACTTAGAGTTTGGTGTTGACATAGATTTTTTTATTGGCTTTACTCTAAGTAGTATTTTGTCTGTGAGACTGTGTCCTGTTACACAACCTTCCCCCAGCATGGTGGTATTGGTACCACCAACCTCTCACATGGCAACAGAGTGACCTCAGAGTAAAAGTGTCTTTCTTTCTGTCTCTTAGACAGGAGAAAAACCCCTGTATTGTACAGGGTAGCTTTATACAGATGTGCGCTGATTGAATTAGATTGATAAAATCAAAAAGACATAACTCATGTAGAGCGGTTTCTGTGCATTGTTGTAACATGAGTTTTGCAATGAAAGGATTAAAGAGAGAAATAGATACTGCCTTTTGTGTAAAAAGAAACTAAACCCTGCCTGCCTAGAGGAAGGTTCCTTAACCAGTAATGCAAACCTGAATACATTTTCCTCATTTTTAAGAACTCAGACCCTTTCCCTTATTTATTTGCTTGCCTATGGCTACACAGTGTAGGTGTTTAGTATAATGGCACCAGTTCACTAGTGAAAATAGGTGCAAATGAAGACAAAAATATTAATGCAAACCTATCTTCCCCAAGTGTCTATGTCTGTACAAGCAGGAGCACCACAAAACATAGCCATTTCAGCCCCACTGGCAGCAGGGCAGCATGAATATAATGCCAATAATTTCGATAAATTGAATTTCAATATGTCATATCCCACCCGCATAAACATTACATAAGATGGTATTAAACTTGATATTCTGTAAGAGTCCCTGCTGGCATTCCTCCAAAGCTACAGTATCAATGCTGGATCACACTCAAAACCATAAAAATCTCTAATATGCTTCAGCACTAAGAAAATGGGGAAAAAAAATCCGCAAACCCTGACAGTCAAGTACGTGTAGAGAATTTTCCCTTGAGCATGTTTGAGATTTATTTTAACTTTTGACCTTTTAGTGCATGTTGCAAGAGAAAGCTTTTAGCAGAAACAGTAGCACTACTGTACTAAAATTCAAAAGCTAGAGCTCCATCCCTGTAGTAGCATGGAAAAACATGGCTACATGGTTAGATATAACATCAGAAATTACTCATGGAAGGGGAAAAATGAACAGTGCCTCCATGTGAAGATGTATGGAAATTAACTGTGGGAGATGGCAAAAGTGGGTTCCTATCAAGTCTGTTTTTATCTGTTTTGTGTATTCAGCTTGATATCCCATCCTGCCCAGCTGCCATGAAGTCTGCAAACTCCATTTAGAGTCAAAGGAAGGTATGGCTTAAAAGAAGATGGAAGAAAAATTAAGGGGAAGGATGAGGTGATGCTCAGAGACCAAAAGAGTGACTGTAGGTTTTGCACATCATCTAGCAGGTTGGAAACCTTCAGTTCCAACTGAGCTTTTTGAGGCCCTACAATAAATGCACATTCTTATGCAGGGGATTACAGGGAAATCACGTGGAGATGCACAGCTTCATCCTGCAGACAGGATTCTAAGCTAACCCTGGTAGTAAAATACCTCCAGACACTAAACTACCTTGTTTGGAGGTTTGATCTAGCATAGTTTAGCTAGCATTGCTCACTGGGCTAAAATTTGCAGATGAATGAAGAGCAGCATCACAATCTAAATAGAAGACCCATATCCATATGTCCAGAAGAAAAGGCAGTGTCCAAAAAGCTGAAAATGCTAGATTGCCATCTCTTCAAAACAAATCAAATCAACAATAATTAGTCAAAACTTGGAATTTCTTTATTTCTCACTGGTAGTGAGTGCATACTTCACCCGAATTACAAGCTGCAGGCCAGTATGCACACACATGTCCAGTTCAACTCCTTTGTCTAAAAGACAGTCATATTGTGTACAACAGTTTGTTGCATAGAACGGCAAAATCCAACAGTCCAAGCTTGCAGAAGGTTCTGTACAGAGAGGTCATAATTAAACAGACAGGAACACAGTCAGCTGACCCTTTGTGTGACACTAGCTTCTTAAAGCCCAAATAGTCAAGGTTTTGGGTCTTGAGTCACATTTACAGATGGGCAGGCAAAGAAACAGCACTGCTGTAGTTGAGTTAGTGCTCACTAAGTGGTTACACCCACTAAACCACACACATCTGCCCTTGGTGGGGACCACGCCTCACACCAAATGCTGAGACCAGCTGCCTTATGAAGCCTCATAAACTCATAGCTTCACTGCTGCTATCCGGTGCTGTAGCTCAACTGGTGTTTGGGTGCACCAATAGTCCTTTTAATGTGAACTGCAACTGTAAATGCACAGTTTTAGTATCTAGTAAACTCTGTTGGTAATTTTCTACATGAGCATAAGCTAAACCTGGGGTAAGCAGGTTATTTTCAAGGTGTACAAGCCTGTAAAGCAGCCAGAGGAAAAGCAAGCATTAAGAGGTATTCCTCAAACATTCTAAACAATTTGGAAAGGGATTTGTCTATGTAGTTTGTCGACAAAATTTGATTTTTGTTTCTGTATTTCCCTGGCAATAACTTAAAGTAAATGTTTCTGTTCAGTGAACACATACTTGAATTGCAAATGGCAGCATGAATGGCCAAACTAGATGGTGGGTAATTTTGTTGCTTTGATGCTGTCTGAAGTGTGACAGTGCCTTCAGGCCTCATGAATTTCTAGGTCTTATTGCTGCAGGCTGCATTTTAAAAATGGATAAGCAAGTAAAAGGCAACAAATCTTCTGGCACTGAATCAAAGGTGATAAGAGATTTTAACAGAAAAGAGAATGTGAGTGCTCAAGGAAATCATAATAGAGTGATCACTTGCAAAATGGGGCTATACCTAATATGTGCCAGCATTTTAGTGCTGGTATCATATGTTACCAGCTGGTAATATCAACCATTTGTTCAGCTCCGCAAATACAATCCAGAAGGATGCTTACTCTGGCTACTATTTTTAGTCTTGTAGAGAATGCAAGGCTATTAAGAATGAACTGTTAATATAAAAAATGTTAAGAAAAGCTTTCGTATGCCTGCTGTTAAAACCAGTAAAAACTAAACAAGCTATGTTATTACTTTCTCATCCCAGAAAGAAAATACACAACAAGAAAGTGTCTCGATCTGTGGATTTGTGAATAGGGCTCCTCACCAAAGCATCAGGACACAGGGCCAAAGAGGTCATTAGTAACTTATCTTACTGGAAGACGAGGTAGGAAAAGGAAAAAAAATAGGGGGGGGGGGTTGGAGGGGAAAGAAAAAGAAGGCAAAACATATACACAGAGCATAGGATACAAAGCCAAAATGTTGACAGTAGGCCAAAGCTCTTCTGAATAAAAGTTCAGCTAGCGTGACCTACAGCATTTAACACAGCAGTGAATTAGTAATCATTATTATAAACATAAATTTTGGCAGACACAAGATATCTCATACTTTTTTGCAAATTCTTGCAGTTTTCTGAAAATACTCCATCATGGACTATACATTGTGAAGGGGATTATCTGCCCTGAATTACCCTAATCTTGTTGCAAACAGAAGAAAATATTTCTGTGTTACTGAAAGCAAAACTGAAATTCTGAACTTCAAATATTCTTTAATGATGTAAGCTTTGAGATACTCTTCTGTGGCTGCCTTTCCCTTTGTTTAGTTGAATTTTTAAAAATTTCCTGAATATAAATGGTTATCTACAGGAAGAATACAAAATACAAATGTATATTTTTAGGAGCTAAAAAAAAATTAACAGATGACTTATGAGAGGAAATCCCTTTAGGTCATAAGGTTAATATTCAGGATTGTCTTTAATTCAACATGGGGCAGCGTCATTAATAACTTTAATAAGGAAGCACTAATTACCTAATTTTGCAAAGTGCTCCTGTTCCAGCAGCCATGGGAATGCTACAGGGAGGGTACAACTGTCGGCAGCTCCTACTCAGGCCTTAAGTAACTCTAAATGCCTCTTGGCTTTAACAAAATAAATCCGCTTTCCAGCTAAGAAAGAGACAAAAGGGGAGGCAAAGCTGCCAAGAGCCATATTGCTTTTCACAGTTAAAGAAACTCCTCGTGTGTTATGTCTCCCTACATGACATGACAAATTCAAAAGCAAGTTGATATAAGACTCTGCAAACAGACTAAACATTACTTAAGGAATCTTTACAAAACTTCTCTCAAAAATAAACAGAAAATGGAGAGCTAAAACTACTGACTAATGCTTCCTCTAAGAAAGAAACTTGAGAATGACCAAGTGAAGGGACAACTCAAATTAGAGCTACAGCAGGACAGAGCTGCACAGAGACTGGGCAATGCACAAGGACTTTCTATATACACTCTCCTCTTCCAGCTGACCTGTGCAGCTTTTACACTGTGCTTCTGTCCTTCCCCAACCTGCAGCTTCTCATCCTCATGTGACTTACACCTTAACCTGGCTGGAAGTGACTTGTAGATCCAGTCTAAGGTGGGTGTGCCTTGAGCATCAGCACTGCACATGGCACATTCAGCCAGCAACACTCTGCAGTCTGAAACCATAACCAGTTCATGCTTCTGTTTAAATATATGCCTTATGATGAAGTCCACAAAGCTGCAATCAAGAATATTGCTTACACAGTAGTTCGACAAGCAGCTAGGCCAGTGCAAGCCACCACTGCTTCCCAAACTGTAAATCATCAAATAATTCCTAAGGTCATTTTTCCTCTTCAAATCTCAGCAATAAAGTTGAGGCTTTTGCCCTGGGCCACTAACATCAAGCTACCAAGCTATCCGTTCCTCATTATGTTACTCAGAGCGAGAGATGTGCTTGGCATTTGCCACAAGCAAAAATCATCGCAATCTCTAGTCTGAGAGCCCAGAAGTACATACAGAAAGAACAGAAAGCCAAGGAAAGAGGAGCAGTTCTTGGGAGAGCAGCAGCTTTGTAGGCTGTATAGCAGGTTTTGTTTCATAGGTTTCTGTGTTACCTTAGTGCTTAACAGCCGGAGTAAGGGAACTGCAGAGCACAAATTAGTGATAAATGGCTAACAAAAAAAAAAAAAAAAAAAAGTAAAAAGAAAGAACCTGCCAAGAAGCTTCACCTCCCAAGATGCTGCCAAGAAGCAGCATCTCCCTGGTGTTGTCAATTACTGAGACCTTTATTTTTAGTAGCAAATGTAACTGAAAAGCTGTTTGGCAGTCTAAAGGAATTTTTTTGTTTTGTTTTGTTTTAAAGAAAGAAACTTGAAATAAAGCACCAGATTTCCAGAAAATCACCATTTCAGGTACCTGGAAGAGGAATAAAACTCCAAAGAAGAGCATCTGCAGACTTTTACTGCACTTTATGCTTATGCTTTAGGTATGGTGTTTAAGTGTCAGGAGAAAAAGAATACCTATAATCTAGGCATTCCAATCTCACTGTCTGTGACCTGTTTTAGAAGTAAATGTTTGAAGATACATTTCTTTTAAAAGATACAGAAGAGCATGGAAATGAACACTCAGTGTTCAAGGCCCTGCATCATGGGAGCCCAAGATAATGTATTGCTGTACATTAGAAAACAACTGAGATGGAAAACATATGTTTTCATACAAAGAATGTGAAATATATTTAATATTTATTAAGCCTATTTTCTAACGCTCTGGAAAAGCTGAAGATGCTTCAAACTGGAATAATCTGCAAACACCAGTCTTTACCAGGCTTGGAGATTTGGAAGAACTTCTGAGGGACCAGCCAGAAGTGGAGACTAAGTCCACAGTGACTGGCCAAGAGCCTCAAGAATAGAGGTTTGTGAGCTGAACTCTCTGGCATTTGATTTAAGACACAGAGGTGAGACCATGAACTCCTGCTCCTTTGGCAAGCAGTGCCCCGAGAAGGCTTTCTGTGCTGGGCTGACTGTACTACTGTTTGACTGTCAGGCCTGGGGGAACCATCTCCTGGCAAATGCATCAGGAGAAACCCACCCTGGCAAACACACCAGCAGGATATTTTTTCTGGTAGTGAAATGAATTAAAGCTGGTGCTGAATTTAGGAGCTCTTGGCCTTAGAAGTTACGCTCCTCCATGATCTCCTCTACCAACAGCCTTGATCAACAATGCAAACACTTCATCACCAAAAAGAAACTATGAGAGGGTGTGAAGCTCTGCAAGTAACAGGTTTGATGGCCAGTGGCAGATTTCAGGCTGCAGTTTCAATTTGAGTGACTGTCTTAGAGTCTGACAAAGCAGTCTGGCTAGACAGAAATATCCAAGGTGTGAGCATAAGGCGTGGAAATACAGACTAGTCTTACAACACCTTCTGCCCCCAGCCAAAGGGCCAACTTGGAGGGACAGAAAATGCTTTTCTTCCTGATGTGTTTCTGTCATGCACTGCTCTTCCCCTTTGTTCTTAAAATTTATAAATTTATGAGGTTATGTGAGTGATTTTTTTTTTTTTTTTTTTTGTATTAACTAGGGAGAAAGAGTTAATTGGTGATTTAAGTTGTGAAGAGTGGGAGCAGTGTATTCACGGAGCAAAGCACTCTTTGGCATAAGAAAGCAGGCAGACTGGATTATACTTCTCACGCATTAGAAGCAACTTTCACAAGCAAAGATACAAGAGAACTGACACGCTCCTTCTTTCCCAATGAAGGGCTGAACAGAAAGTGCCCTGCAATTTGCCCTCCTTCAGCAGGATTCCCATGGCTGCAATATGCACTTCAGAAACATGGCTCTCCACAGGGGACCCAGGGAAATGAGAGAGAACAACAGCATTGCAAAAAGTTGCCAAAAGGCTGTAGCTGTATTTAGAAACAGTAAAGTAAGCCTTTTCTTCTGCTGTACAATCAGAAATATATAGATGATGTGGATTTCAAAGACCAAAATCTAGCTACTTTTGCACAGACTTATACTGCTCTTATGATTCCCTACTGATCTCAGCCAAAGAGGGTTTTAAAAGTATGAATGTCAAAATGTCAACCACACTGCTTCCATCCACCTAAATTGTAGCTCTTGTTTACATAAGCAATATGCAGCCAAGGGTTTGAAAGGCCTGTCAGGGCATTTGAATGGAGCATGAATCATTGCACTGGGCACTGCTCTAAATGTTGCTTCTTCCTTCCTCCTCATTCTCAGAGGTCAGATAAATGGTACCAGGACCTGCATCTGAAGCTCTTCCCTGCATGATAAAAGACAGGAATCTTTCTGTGAAAGCTTTGCATAACTGTAGCATAAGCTGAAACCAGAAAACACACCTTAGAGCTAACCATAGATACCCATCTGCTTCTTATCAAATGTCTTCCTCTCTGCCCCTCCCCACCTCCCCATCTTCTAACTTTTTTTGGGTGTTTGAATCCATGTAAATTTTTACCATCAGGAGGTAGGACACAGTGTTTACATAATCTGAGTAAACACCATTCATAGAAGATGTGAAAACCTCCAGAATACTTTCCATTTACTAATTAGTGCCAAGTATTGCATCATGCACTACATGGCCTACTCTACAATAAGCGAATTCCATCTGTCAATCTCTACATGGACAATTTTTCAATGGGTATCTTTCAGGACAATGAAATTAAGGAAGGCTTCTGCCCTTCTTCAAAGCAGTCAATTCTTTAGAAATCTTCTGCAGAACTATGCATCTGCAGTGGCAGCACTGTCACAAAGAATAAGAGAATGCAAAATGGCAATTGAAACTGTAAACCTAATTATCTTTAAAGAAATAACTGCATCTATTCTGCAGACAACACACAGCTATGGTGTACACACATTTTTCACACTTCTCAGACACATATACAGGAAACATCCGGCTGTAACAACCCTCAAATGTAAAAACGCAGAAACCCTGGTGAGTTCATGAACTATCATGAACAGCAAGCTGCAAATTTAAACAAGAATACAAAGATTTTTATCATGTGAGGTGGAAAGCAGCAAACATAACCTGATAGAAAGACAGAGATGTGACTCTGAGCACTGTGTTCAGTCATAACACGTAAGAGAGATCTGATGGTTGAAGGTAGAGCACTTTATAGTTTCACAGAAAAAAGAAAGATGAGGTGTATTGGCTGGAAGATGCTGCTAGAAAAACTGGCTTTAAAATATAAAATATTTTCTTAGCAGTGATAATAAATATTGGAATGTTTTCAGGAGAAATCATGTGCTGCCACTTGAAAACACATGAGAGTACAGGGGTCTTTCATTTAGCTTCTGTGAGACCCATTGTAGGTCACAACAGAGGATTGCAGAGCTCCCCTCTGGCCTGACTCTCCATGAATCTGCAAATTTCACAGCTTTATCCTGTGGGGCCAAGACATTTTGGCTCCAAACCAGCAAGGCACTTACACACATGCTGAAATGAAAGGTGGCTTTCTTTGCTGGATCAGGGCCAGCGCCATCAGCCTCTTGCAGGACAAGCCCAACCATCTTTAGTCATCTCAGTGTCTGACCACTTTGGGGTTTCTTTGCTGCAGTGGCAATCAGAAACTTAGAAGAGCAGAGGCTTGGAAATCTTCCAAAGCAGCGGGATACTTTTAACTCTTGCTTATCTTGCATCAATTTTGCTGAGGTAAAGGGGGGTGAATATGCTGGTTTAGAGTTTTTTATTATATTTGCACTCAGCAATAATTTAATTGAGATCAGGAAACACCAATCAGGAAAGACACATTGAGGCAAGGTACCCCAGGAAGATGAGCAAATGAAAATCAATGCCTTTCTCCAAAGAGAAACTTAATGTAATTACTCACTTGAAAAAAAGGATTAAATCAATACCTCAGGGTTAGAAATACATGTATGCTGGAAGAACCTAACTTGAACCATTCTGAGCAGTAGTCTGGAAAGGATGTGAGGCATTAGGTAGGTTCAAACACACATACACACACGAACACACATACATATACAGAAATATGCCAAAGAGTCATTAACAAAAATTAACTGGAATACAGAAAAAGGGTCTTATAAAAAACCTTAAGTTCAGAAAATAGGGTGGAGGATGCCGTTTTTATGAATTAGAGGCCAGTTTGGAAACAAACAATCCAAACCCCATCTGGAATAAATGGCTATTTTAAAAATGACTGTATTAAATTATTGAATGAAATTAATTAAGAACTTTTTCCTTTCCTTCTTAAAGTCAGCATAGCATCCCTTGAAACTGTCATTTACTCTCAGGTTGTAACAGATAGTTAATTCCTGGTGGTCCAAACATCTTGCCAAGAATTTCTTTCATGTATCCATAATATTTTTCTATATTTTTCTTCCCCTAGTACCTTACATAATTCAAAAGAGAATTTTGATTGTTCAAAATAATTTTTTTTGCCAGTTTGGGGTTTTTCTCCCCTTTTGATTTTTTTCTTAAAGCAAGCTGATAACTGGTAGGTTACTAGGAGTTTGCTTTAGCTACAGAAAGAAAAGGATGAAATACAATAAGATATATCACATATTTTCAAGAAAGAACAATATTATGGCCTAGGAAATTCTGAGCTAAGCAGATTTCCAAGATTTTACAGATGATTTATGATGATAAAAGTGAAGATAGATCTGAATTTATTTTTAAAAATGAAAACAAAGAAAATGTTTTTCAATTCACCTTGTAATACTTAGAACTGCATATGTGTAGAGCAACTCTGCTTTATCGATTTAAGTGGAAGAAACAGAAGTAGGATGGAAATACACCTAGATTTTAACACCAAGTCAAACAGAAAGGCTTAAGAATGAGTGGAAAATGATCACTTTTTTTTTTTTTTTTTTTTTTTTTTTTTTTTTTAATTTCCCAATGTTAGAAAAAATCCAGCTAGAAGCTATTTCAAATACTCATTCAGAACAGCTTACATTTATCTTCTTCATCCTTGTCTGCAAAGGAACTGTTGTCAAAACATTGATTAATTTACAAACCTGTCAGATTTGGTCTCCTGAGGCGGTGACAGAGTTGTCCCATAACGAGTAGTGGGTGTTGTTGGGGCACTCACACCAGTGTAAGGTCGTGGAGAAGAATAAGAGCTGCTGCCATAGCTATTGTACCTGAAGAAATGGGAAGAAAGGTAGGAGAAAGGGAGAGACAGAAAGAATCTGTCAGCAAACAGGCATGCAACAGTGAATCCTCTTATTTACAGGGTGGTAGTGATCCCATACCCCACAACTTTTCAAACATTCACCTTCTGAGAATGTTGCTCTATTTCCAAATATGCAACCAATCATGTACTCTTAATATCAACCATGGCAGGAACATACATGATGAAACAGTGAACTGTTGGTTAGGAAAATAATGAGAAATTTGCATAGTCCTCACAAGTGACAACTCAGAACAGGAATACTTGAATTACTGCTCAGTTATTCAGAATTATTTGCTATTTTGGGAGCTGATATCCAGCCATTAGAAAAGGGATCAAACCAGCCCAAGACAGCAGTATTCATATCTACTACAGTTAAGGAAAACGGCAGCACTCCTGAGACATGATCTGAACATGGGCATCCATGACTTGCAAATGCTTGCATTTTAAATGGAATAGCAACCACATTATTTTCAATTAAAGGCAGCGGTATTTTCTTTCCCCTCCCCCAACATAAGTAATAGCTTATGTGCCATTTCTTACAATGTCTGTAAAAAATCATCACCATGGTTAAAAAGACATGTCTCCGGAAGCACGGCTTTAGAAATTTCTATCAGCCCTTCTCTCCATTAAAAAACCCCATAAACTTGCTTCACTTCAATGTGAGCTTGCTGATCAAAGAGAAATTGTTTCCAGGACTCCTGGAACGACCACCTCCCCAGAGTCCCTTTTATCAATGTTTTCATCCTGGCTCCTGTACTG